ACTGTGACCTCATACTGAGGTGAGGTGGATTGCTGGTCTCACTGTGACCTCATACAGAGGTGGGGTTGATTGTTGATCTCACTGTGACCTCATACTGAGGTGGGGTTGATTGCTGATCTCACTGTGACCTCATACTGAGGTGGGGTTGATTGCTGATCTCACTGTGACCTCATACTGAGGTGGGGTTGATTGTTGATCTCACTGTGACCTCACACTGAGGTGGGGTTGATTGCTGATCTCACTGTGACCTCATACTGAGGTGGGGTTGATTGCTGATCTCACTGTGACCTCATACTGAGGTGGGGGAGATTCCTGATCTCATGGTGACCTCATACTGAGGTGGGGTTGATTGCTGACCCCACTGTGACCTCATACTGAGGTGGTGTGATTGTTGATCTCACTGTGACCTCATACTGAGGTGGGGTTGATTGCTGATCTCACTGTGACCTCAAACTGAGGTGGGGTGCATTGTTGATCTCACTGTGACCTCACACTGAGGTGGGGTTGATTGTTGATCTCACTGTGACCTCTTACTGAGGTGGGGTGAATTGCTGATCTCACTGTGACCTCATACTGAGGTGGGGTGCATTGCTGATCTCATGGTGACCTCATACTGAGATGGGGTTGATTGCTGATCTCACTGTGACCTCATACTGAGGTGGGGTTGATTGCTGATCTCACTGTGACCTCATACTGAGGTGGGGTGCATTGCGGATCTCACTGTGACCTCATACTGAGGTAGGGTTGATTGCTGATCTCACTGTGACCTCATACTGAGGTGGGGGGGGGGGATTCCTGATCTCATGGTGACCTCACACTGAGGTGGGGTTGATTGTTGATCTCACTGTGACCACATACTGAGGTGGGGTTAATTGTTGATCTCACTGTGACCTCATACTGAGGTGGGGTGAATTGCTGATCTCACTGTGACCTCATACTGAGGTGGGGGAGATTGCTGATCTCATGGTGACCTCATACTGAGGTGGGGTTGATTGCTGACCTCACTGTGACCTCATACGGAGGTGGGGTGCATTGTTGATCTCACTGTGACCTCATACTGAGGTGGGGTTGATTGTTGATCTCACTGTGACCTCATACTGAGGTGGGGTGGATTGTTGATCTCACAGTGACCTCATACTGAGGTGGGGTTGATTGCTGATCTCATGGTGACCTCATACTGAGGTAGGGTGGATCGCTGATCTCACTGTGACCTCATACTGAGGTGGGGTTGATTGTTGATCTCACTGTGACCTCATACTGAGGTGGGGTTGATTGCTGATCTCACTGTGACCTCATACTGAGGTAGGGTGGATCGCTGATCTCACTGTGACCTCATACTGAGGTGGGGTTGATTGCTGATCTCACTGTGACCTCATACTGAGGTAGGGTGGATCGCTGATCTCACTGTGACCTCATACTGAGATGGGGTTGATTGCTGATCTCACTGTGACCTCATACTGAGGTGGTGTGGATTGCTGACCTCACCATGATCTCACACTGAGACGTGGTTGTCCTGTTGTGTCACTGTGACCTGGCTGACCTGTTGTGTCACTGTGACCTGGCTGACCTGTTGTGTCACTGTGACCTGGCTGTCCTGTTGTGTCACTGTGACCTGGCTGACCTGTTGTGTCACTGTGACCTGGTTGTCCTGTTGTGTCACTGTGACCTGGCTGACCTGTTGTGTCACTGTGACCTCATACTGAGACCTGGCTGTCCTGTTGTGTCACTGTGACCTGGCTCTCCTGTTGTGTCACTGTGACCTGGCTGACCTGGTGTGTCACTGTGACCTGGCTGACCTGTTGTGCCAATGTGACCTGGCTGTCCTGTTGTGTTACTGTGACCTGGCTCTCCTGCTGTGTCACTTTGACCTGGTTTCCCCTACTGTGTCACTTTGACCTGGCTGACCTGTTGTGTCACTGTGACCTGGCTTTCCTGTTGTGTCACTGTGATCTGGCTGTCCTGTTGTGTCACTGTGATCTGGCTGTCCTGTTGTGTCACTGTGACCTGGCTGACCTGTTGTGTCACTGCGACCTGGCTGTCCTGTTGTGTCACTGTGACCTGGCTGACCTGTTGTGTCACTGTGACCTGGTTGTCCTGTTGTGTCACTGTGACCTGGCTGTCCTGTTGTGTCACTGTGACCTGGCTGACCTGTTGTGTTACTGTGACCTGGCTGACCTGTTGTGTCACTGTGACCTGGCTGTCCTGTTGTGTCACTGTGACCTGGCTGACCTGTTGTGTCACTTACTGGCTCTCCTGTTGTGTCACTGTGACCTGGCTGTCATCATACACTGTCAGGAGGATCAATGGTCTCACTGTGATTTGTTTGCAAAATATTTTGTTGTCAGCAGGTATTCTTACTGCCTAGTTTCAGTTATTGCATGTCATTAGAACAAATTATGTTCTCAGAAATATATGAAAAATTAAATGTTGCCATAGGGTAAATAATCCCAAAGTAAAAGAAATGTTTGAAAATCAATCACTCACTCACTCATTCACTCACTCACTCACTCACCCAAACCTACCCACCCATTACTCACTCACTCACTCACTCACTCACTCACTCACTCACTCACTCACTCACTCACTCACTCACCCAAAACTACCCACCCATCCACCCACCCACCGACTCACTCACTCACTCACTCGCCCAACTCACTCGCCTGCCCAACTCACTCAACAAACTCACTCACTCACTCACTTTTTTCAGGAACTGAAGACATGGCACCGTCCACGTGTGGAAGCGCTACTGGGTCACGGAGCGGACATGTTGGCAGTGGACACCATACCAGTCCAGAAAGAGGCTGAGGCCATTGTCGACCTGCTGTCCGAGTACCCTGAGGCTAGAGCGTGGGTGTGCTTTTCTTGCAAGGTACTTACTTTCAAAACTTGTACTGGGAGGTAGCCTAGTGTTTCAAGTGTTTGCTTGTCGTGCAAGATACTTCAAGTATCATACAGGCCTGAAAGTACCTTAAATTTTGCAGTCTGGATTTAAAAAAGGCCTTAAATCTGACAGCCTGGACTTGAAAAGGCCTTAAATATAGCAATCTGGTCTTGTAAAGGCCTTAAATATAGCAATCTGGTCTTGTAAAGGCCTTAAATATAGCAATCTGGTCTTGTAAAGGCCTTAACTTTGGCAATCCGCACATAAAAAGGCCTTAAATTTGACAGTCTGGACTTGAAAAGGCCCTCAATTTGACAGTCGGGACTTGAAAAGGCCTTCAATTTGGCAATATGGACTTGAAAAAGCCTTAAATATGACAGTCTGGACTTGAAAGGCCTTAAATATAGCAATCTGGTCTTGTAAAGGCCTTAACTTTGGTAATCTGCACATGAAAAGGCCTTGAATTTGACAGTCTGGTCTTGCAAAGGCCTTAAATTTGCAATCTGGACTTGAAAAGGCCTTAAATTTGACAGTCTGGACTTGAAAAGGCCTTAGATTTGACAGTCTGGACTTGATGGGGCCTTACGTTTTTTGTGAAAGTTCTTGAAGAGGCCTTAAATGCAATGTAGTTAACTACATGTGAATAAAAACTGCCGGTCAAAAGAAAGTGTACACCCATGTTTGATGGTGACTAAGAATGAAAGAAAGTAGAATGGTTATGGTTTTGATTTGATGCAGGTATCATTATTTAGTTGTGTTTTGGACCTAAAGTTTGCAGTGTTTCAGAGGCTGTTTTCACCCTTGTAATATTGCTTTGCTAAAATTCAAATCCAATTTTCAAGTGAATACTTTCTCTTTTGCCTGGCACTTTAGTACACTCATTTTTTAATCTTGATAATGTATGATTATATCATGTACCTGTCACAAAATATTGGTCCTCAACTCGATCAACAAATAATATTGCAACGCTTGTATGTGGTCTTAAATATTTTTGAACGGCATTCGGATGGAGCCATTCTGACAGTGAAAGTAAGTCAGAATGTCCAACTGAAACTTGGGTACTGCTTTAGCCTTGTGAGGTGTGAACATTGATTGAAGAGTACATACATGACACATAGATAGATGTACTTGGTCCTGTAATGGCGTGTGGTCCTCATAACAGCTCGCATACCACAAATTCGGGGAACTTAAGCAATACTAGATGGGTGACCATCTTCCGCAGCGTTTATGGAGCTTCAGTCCTGCAGACATGCATCATGCCAACATTCATTATATAACGCTCTTAAATTCCTCTCTTGGTAGACATGATTCTACATTCGTCACCACTCGCCTCTTTCCGTAACCTGCAAGAAGACTCGTCTCCCTTTCGATGAATGTTATGTGCGAAAATACGACAAACCAATCAGAATGCTCGTATGACTTCATGTTCTTCTGTTAAAGAATCCCTCAGGAATAATTTTTGATTTTACACGTCACGCATCTAAAATATACCCAAGATACAGTTAGATATGTTCAATCATACTGTATAATGCTGCATGTCCCGATATGCTCTAAATTTCATCTGAAATACATATAATATATGCGGAAATATACGTGAATCATTACGCAACGAGTTGACAATTCCTTTAGCTATGCCCCTTTGCGCTTAGACGGAACCCGGTCGCAAAAATGGTCACTTCAGGGTCACGAGTCCCTATTGGGCTTGTTCTGGAAAAACACGAGTTGGTCACGAATGATGATTCTAGTGAATTCCAAGCAACCATGGCAAGGCATTTCAACATTGCCCAGAGCATAGTTTCCTGTCTGTGCATATATCAGCAGCAGGACACCACTGAGCATTGTCCAAGATGAGTGAGTGAGTGAGTTGGGTTTAACGCCACTTTTAACAGTATTCCAGTCATATCCCAGCGTGTCAGCTTAATGTGGGAGGAAAGCCCGAAGTGATGAAGGTCTCAGACATTTACCACTTCGGTGAAACCCACGAGCACGGGTATGGTGCTGACAAACTTAGAAACATAATCGGGGCGAACCCGGGATTCGAACCCACAATCATAGGTTTCTGGCGTGCCCAAGGAACGCAACTCTGCACAGCGAATCGCGGCGCCTTAGACGACTGGGCCACCTGTGCCCCCTTGTCCAAGATGAAGGAGAGGCCATGTCACCACAGCATCACACGATTGCTACATCCGGTGCTTCACCTTCGAAACTGCAACATACACTGTTTCATAAATTCCTGGTTGATGTCCCTTATTTACAAGAAGGCCCTATTTTACCTCAACATAATTGACGGTGGCTGCATTGGTGGTGATTACGTCATGAGTGACTTCCCCAACGTTGTCATGGTTTTGTTTCAAGTTACTTCTTCAAAGGAGAGATCTAATTCATATTAAGGGCAACTAATAACGGTTGTGTAACTGCTCTGTCAGGACCAGGGCACCATGTTCCCTCACAGCATGAGTCTGTACTGATTTCCTGTGAGCTCAGAATGTGAACGTACTGCCGTGGCCGTCATTGTCCTGGATCTCAATCCAATTGAACATCTGTGGGACGAGCTTGAAATGTGTTTACGTTAACGTCAACCAGAGCCACAGAATCTGCAGCAATTATGCCAGGCTCTTTAGGGAGGATGGGCCGTCATGCCACAGACTTCTTGTTTTCATGGGCAGGAGGCTTTGTGACTGCCATGCTTGAGGTAGCGACAAAACCGGCACCTGCAAAGACTTCCCCGTTACGTCCCGACCCATGAAGATCAGAGTAGAACAGGGCCCACTTGCACAAAGCGATCTTAGCGCTAAGATGATCGTAACTCCCATACTTTAGCATAGGCTTACAATAGTCTTAGCGCTAAGATCTCTTTGTGCAAGTGGGCCCTGGTCTTGGCATCCCTTGCTGGCCGTGATAGGCGACTTACTTGTCGTAAGAGGTGACGAACGGGATAGGTGGTCAGGCTCGCTGACTTGGTTCATGCATGTCATTGTATCCCAATTGTGTGGATCGATGCTCTTGATGATCACTGGATTGTCTGGTCCAGACTCGATTATTTACAGACCGCCGTCGTATAGCTGGAATATTGCTGAGTGGCGTTAAACAAACAAACAAATGTCCCATGTCCTATGTATCGCTTATAAAGCGCAATAGCAAAAGTCGCAAAATGAATCTCGTGACAGCAACATATATGTTTCCTTTTGGGGGAGTACATATAGCCATTCCCTTGTTACTGGCCTGCTGCATATGCAATAATGAACACTGTATCACAATCCATATCATGCACATAGGACGGAGGCGCGACATGCCACGGGGAGAGGTTCTCGGAGGCTGTGCAAAGCGTGGTTCAGTCGGACCAGGTGATAGGCGTTGGTGTGAACTGTACAGCTCCGGACCTTGTCAGTGACCTGCTGGGGAGTGTCCAGCATCTCGGACTCCGGAAGCCGGTGGTGGTCAAGCCAAACAGTGGGGAGGAGTGGCTGCCTCATACGGGGTAAGGATGTGCTGGGATAGTAACTCTGGCAGTGTAGGTTATTTCGGAAATATAAGATTAGTGGAGTTGTTTTTTGTACAATAAAACACTGCAGTGAAAATAAACCATGATGGGTGAAGATTATCTTACGTTGTAAACCTCCAGTGACGTCATCCTATTGTTCTCCAGTCAGGTTTAATCTCATAAACAGGGACGTTGTAATATCCCTGGGATTTAATTGATACAACTTCTGTTTAGATTGTAACATATGAATGTTTCTGGCTTGAAATTCATAAAGTGTAAAATCAAATGACAAATGTTATCTATGTATGTATTCCCAAGGACTGAACCTTCATATCTGTAGTCCAGTGAGTGTATGTGTGGATGAGTGAGTGAGTGAGTGGGTTGAGTGAGTGAGTGAGTGAGTGAGTGAGTGGATGAGTTGATGAGTGAGTGAGTGAGTGGGTTGAGTGAGTGAGATGAGTGGGTGAGTGAGTGAGTGGGTTGAGTGGGTTGAGTGAGTGAGTGGGTTGAGTGGGTGGGTTGAGTGGGTTGAGTGAGTGATTGAGTGGGTTGAGTGAGTGAGTGGGTGGGTTGAGTGAGTGAGTGAGTGGGTTGAGTGAGTGAGTGAGTGGGTTGAGTGAGGGAGTGGGTTGAGTGAGTGAGTGAGTGAGTGAGTGGGTTGAGTGGGTGAGTGAGTGAGTGGGTTGAGTGAGTGAGTGGGTTGAGTGAGTGAGTAGGTTGAGTGGGTGAGTGAGTGAGTGAGTGAGTGGGTTGAGTGAGTGAGTGGGTTGAGTGAGTGAGTGAGTGGGTTGAGTGAGTGAGTGAGTAGGTTGAGTGGGTGAGTGAGTGAGTGAGTGAGTGGGGTGAGTGGGTTGAGTGGGTTGCGTGAGTGAGTGAGTGGGTTGAGTGAGTGGGTTGAGTGAGTGAGTGGGTTGAGTGAGTGAGTGGGTTTGGGGTAGATGAGTGAGTGGGTTGAGTGTATGGATGGGTGGGTTTGGGGTGGGTGAGTGAGTGAGTGGGTTGAGTGTATGGGTGGGTGGGTTTGGGGTGGGTGAGTGAGTGAGTGAGTGGGTAGAGTGAGTGAGTGAGTGAGTGAGAGGGTTGAGTGAGTGAGTTGGTTGAGTGAGTGAGTAGTTTGAGTGGGTGGGTGGGTTTGGGTTGGGTGAGTGGATGCGTGAGTGAGTGTTCAGGATGTTTATTGGCACATCAAGGGTGGATCCAGCATTTTTAAAATGGAGAGGTCCGAAATATCAAAATCTTCGCTGCCTACCACAAAGAGGAATGGGGGGGACACCCTGGATCCGCCTATGCTCATGTTTGATTTCAGACTTTTCTTGTATAAGACAACATATGGATCCAATCTTAATACTGTATCAAGTCTTTCAAGGGATAATTATCTTGAGCTGAGGTATCTTCTCAGATTGAAACACTTTTAGAAAGTATGTCACACTAATACTAGATTCACATAATACTAGATTCACATAATACTAGATTCATGAACATGTGAGACATTGGGGAAAAAATGGAAATATGTATCTTTTTTAAACAAAGTTCTTAAAAGTGAGGTTTATGGAATAATTGATCAGTTTGTGGAACTGCCTCTGTGGTCTAGTGGTAGAATCGCCTGGAGAGGGGAAGATCTGGGGTTTGATCCCTGGCCGTGTCATATCAAAAGACGTTAAAATATGGTACTTGTTATTACCCTGCCTGGCGCTCAGCAATAATGGGAAACAAGGACTGGTCGGATCGGGGTCAGTATACTGTGTCTGAGTGGGGTATTCGTGTTAAACTGCAGCATGGTATCTCAGTGGGCTAGCACTATAAAATCGGAATGCGTCCGGACTAGTACAAGCAGCCACACACACACACATGTCAGTAATCTCGACATTAAACCCCATGTCATCTCACCTTATGCTTATGAAAAGAAATAAGTTAGACAGAAATGTAATCAGAAACTGCATACACAGCAATATTCCAGCTATATGATGGCAGTCTCTCAATAGTCGAGTTTGGATCAGACAATCCAGTGATTGATATCGTGAGCACCAATCCATGCCATCTGGGTACAGTGACACGCAATCACCGCGTCAGACACCTATCAGTTTGGTGGCCTCGAGGTTACCAATTCTCACCCAGCATCCCAATAACTGAGATGCAATACATTTGTATGTGTAACAAAATTTAACATCAAACTAAGGTATCTGATAGTTTTAGATGTAAAGGGATTTATTCATGACCGTATTGATATATGTAAATTTATGTGAATACATTTCTTTGGCGTATGACACATTGAACATATTAAAAATTAATGCAATACATTTCTAAGGTATCTATTTCAGTTTCTTTTCAAGAATTTATCTCAGATGAGAAAAGTGATATTATTCTCCAGTTTATAACATTTCTTATTCTATACTTTCCTGGTATATATCATCACGATACACTGCCTGTACGCTACAGCGCCGTCAGTCGCGGGTGACGAACTACTTGCAGGAAAAAGTCATACTGGTGTCGAGCTCACTGCACCGCAAGTGCACGGTGCACTGAAAACCGCAAATATTCACAAGGTCACGCTCGTCAAATACTCGACCTTTGACACTCAGAGTTGTTTTTCTGGAACAGAAGCTATTAACATGGATCTGTGTCAAGGCTAGGTCGGTGTTTGTAGAGTACAATGACAAGCTGAGGATTAGACCTTATTTTATGTCATTTTCTCAATGGAATTGTCATGTTGGCTCTGCTTTTTGTGAGGTTTGAATCCAAGACTTTTATGACAGCGTGTGCCATTATCACAACAAAGGCTGCTGGTAGGGGGCCGTGGGTCTCACTTTGTAGGAAATGGGGACAAGGAGTTTGTTGAATTGTGTTTTTCTGATGTTATTGTAAAACTGTAGCCCTTTGTGGTTTAAGCAGATGTAGAGGAGTTGTTGAGATAGTTTGTGTTCGTTTATGAACTGTTCAAGGTGACGAGGGTATGGTGAATGCAGCCAGGATTGAATAGCTTCCCTGTGCTTGAGATCTGGAAGTTTCTGAGCTGGGTTTTTTGCTCTGTTTGTGTGAGCTGGTTGGAATAGTGTTAAGTTTCAATAGATCCAGAGTTTGCAGCTTTGAAATAGTGTTTAGAGTGTTTGCTTGCACACATTATGGGAAATAATGGAGCATGTTTGTTTTAACATTCTTTTCATTTATGGCACTTTAATGTTGGCACTTGAATAGATTCAGGGGAGTGTGGAGAAGGATGGTGAGAGGGATGGAGTGGATTGTGGAGAGAGTGATGGAGTGGATTGTGGAGAGAGGATGGAGTGGATTGTGGAGAGAGGATGGAGCGGATTGTTAGAGGGGTGTAGTGTATTGTGGAGAGAGGATGGAGTGGATTGTGGAGAGAGGGATGGAGTGGATTGTGGAGAGAGGATGGAGTGGATTGTGGAGAGAGGGTCGGAGTGGATTGTGGAGAGAGGATGGAGTGGATTGTGGAGAGAGGGTCGGAGTGGATTGTGGAGAGGGGTATAGTGTATTGTGGAGAGAGGATGGAGTGGATTGTGGAGAGAGAAAGGAGTGGATTGTGGAGAGGGGTGTAGTGTATTGTGGAGAGAGGATGGAGTGGATTGTGGAGAGAGAAAGGAGTGGATTGTGGAGAGAGGGATGGAGTGGATTGCGGAGAGAGGATGGAGTGGATTGTGGAGAGAGGAGTGGATTGTGGATAGAGGATGGAGTGGATTGCGGAGAGAGGGATGGAGTGGATTGTGGATAGAGGATGGAGTGGATTGTGGAGAGAGGATGGAGTGGATTGTGGAGAGAGGATGGAATGGTTTGTGGAGAGGGGTGTAGTGTATTGTGGAGAGAGGATGGAATGGTTTGTGGAGAGGGGTGTAGTGTATTGTGGAGAGAGGGATGGAATGGTTTGTGGAGGGGGGTTTAGTGTATTGTGGAGAGGGGTGTAGTGTATTGTGGAGAGAGGATGGAATGGTTTGTAGAGGGGGGTTTAGTGTATTGTGGAGAGGGGTGTAGTGTATTGTGGAGAGAGGATGGAGTGGTTTGTGGAGAGGGGTGTAGTGTATTGTGGATAGAGGATGGAGTGGATTGTGGAGAGAGGATGGAGTGTATTGTGGAGAGAGGATGGAATGGTTTGTGGAGGGGGGTTTAGTGTATTGTGGAGAGGGGTGTAGTGTATTGTGGAGAGAGGATGGAATGGTTTGTGGAGAGGGGTGTAGTGTATTGTGGAGAGAGGATGGAATGGTTTGTGGAAGGGGGTGTAGTGTATTGTGGAGAGAGGATGGAGTGGTTTGTGGAGAGAGGATGGAGTGGTTTGTGGAGAGGGGTGAAGTGTATTGTGGAGAGAGGATGGAGTGGTTTGTGGAGAGGGGTGTAGTGTATTGTGGAGAGAGGGGTGTAGTGTATTGTGGAGAGAGGGATGGAATGGAGGGTGGATTTGAGAATGGTTGAGTGTAGAGTGGAGCGGAGAAGAATGGAGTTGAGAAGAGGAGTACAGAATGGGTGGAGGGTAGTGGAGAGTGGAGTGGAGTGGAGTGGAGTGGAGTGGAGTGGAGTGGAGTGGAGTGGAGCGGAGCGGAGTGGAGTGCATATGGAGCTTGAAAGAAGTGAGTTGAAAGTGCTAGAAGGGAGGGCGACGAAGCAACTTTAATTGGGAAAGTTTGTTGAGTGAAGAGGGAAGTACCCAATTCACCCAAGTACAAACCATCCACTGTCAGTTGGACGTCTGTTCAGTGTCGTTACACAGCACAAGCAAGTCAAGCTTCGTAGTCCAAGGCATTACACTTCATGCTTGAGAAAGTTACAACATAAAACCAAAAAAAACCATCGGCTGTTGGATCAGCTGTTCCGGGGACACGTGAGCGGCCTTGAACTGGATTGAGAAGCATACGTCCCTGGGCCCACCTGCACAAAGTGATCTTAGGTCTATGATAATCGTAACTCCCATATTAAAACACATGTTTAGGATCATGGTAGCGCTATAAAGATTCCTTTGCGCTCTTGGATCCCAGTTTTGTTAGTCTTGTTCATAATAAAAATTCAGCAAGAATTCAAATGACAATGATGGCTTCTTGTGAGCAATGGTGATGCAAAAACACGGTGTGAATATTCTTTGGAAGTTATTTGGAATGTCATTATTTTAGTCAGTTAGGACACATGTGTTGAGACAGGCACGTTTTATTGTAATTCGCAGATGGATTCCAGGAAGTGGGAGCCTGTCTCTGGACGACCAGGTGAAGGCATGGGTGGATCATGGCGCCACGTGGATCGGTGGATGTTGTCGAGTGTACCCGGATGATATAGCCAAGATGAAAAAAGAACTTGACAGATTGTAAACTACACCAAGCACTCACGATGTCAGATCCACGAGGATCTAAGTGGGGGAGGGCGGTCTCCCCTTTTTGAAAAGTTTGTGAGGATTTTGATATTTTCGGACCCCTCACTTCTAAAAGTGCTGCTTCCGCCCTTGATGATATATATTGCAGATGGGCACATTCTGTTTTTTCTTTGGTGGCATTTTTTGTCCAGCGTTTATTGTGGTATTGTGGTATTGAACCAGTCGGAGCTTGTCAGGAACCCAAAGTGAGTACTCATGTTAGCAATGGTCATCACACTAACACTGTCAATGATGTTTGTTTGTTTGTTTGTTGTTTAACGCCGCACTCAGCAATATTCCAGCTATATGACGGCGGTCTGTAAATAATCAAGTCTGGACCAGATGATCCAGTGATTGATATCATTAGCATTGACCTACGCAATTGGGATCGATGACATGCATCAACCAAGTCAGCGAACCTGACCACTATGCCAATTAACTCATATCATGTACCTGTAGTTGAGCTCACTGATTGGTCTTGAGTGAGCTCAAACTCAAATAAGGGGCGGTCGGGTAGCCTAGTGGTTAAAGCGTTAGCTCGTCACGCCGAAGACCCGGGTTCGATTCCCCGACATGGGTACAATGTGTGAAGCTCATTTCTGGTGTCCCCCGCCGTGATATTGCTGGAATATTGCTAAAAGCGGCGTAAAACCATACTCACTCACTCACTCACTCACTCAAACTCAAATAATGTAATCCCCATTTGCATATTTCTTTTCGAAACACAGTTGCACTTTTGCACTAGCCCAGTGTTTTAATCCCTAAGAACAACATCACATTGTCTGCAGGCAACATCAAAGCAATTTATACTGTAATCACAAAGGTCGATCTTCCGGTAAGGCACTGGTCATCTAACGTACATACTCTGTATTCCGGAAACCCCATATTCTGGGCATGTCTAATAGCGTATGTATGTGTATGTAGACTCCCGCTGTTACTGATGACCTTTGTTAATGCCGACGATAACATTCTTCGTAACAATGATTGGTTAATACGGACGATAACAATGATTGGTTAATACGGACGATAACATTACTCCGTAACAATGATTGATTAATACGGACGATAACATCACTCCGCAACAATGATTGGTTAATACGGACGATAACATCACTCTGTAACAATGATTGGTTAATACGGACGATAACATCACTCCGCAACAATGATTGGTTAATACAGACGATAACATTACTCCGAAACAATGATCGGTCAATACGGACGATAACATTACTCTGTAACAATGATTGATTAATACGACGATAACATCACTCCGTAACAATGATTGGTTAATACTGACGTTAACATTACTCTGTAACAATGATTGATTAATACGGACGATAACATCACTCCGCAACAATGATTGGTTAATACAGACGATAACATTACTCTGTAACAATGATTGATTAATACGACGATAACATCACTCCGTAACAATGATTGGTTAATACTGACGTTAACATTACTCTGTAACAATGATTGGTTAATACAGACGATACCATCACTCCGCAACAATGATTGGTTAATACAGACGATAACATTACTCCGTAACAATGATTGGTTAATACAGACGATAACATTACTCCGTAACAATGATTGATTAATACAGACGATAACATTACTCCGTAACAATGATTGGTTAATACGGACGATAACATTACTCTGTAACAATGATTGGTTAATACAGACGATAACATCACTCCGTAACAATGATTGGTTAATACAGACGATAACATTACTCTGTAACAATGATTGGTAAATACAGACGATAACATCACTCCGTAACAATGATTGGTTAATACCGTCGATAACATTACTCTGTAACAATGAATGTGTTAACACAGATGATTAGCATTTCTCTGTAACAATTATTGATTAATACGGACGAGATAGCGAGAACTAAGATATGATTTTAATGAGATTGGGACGATAACATTACCCCGTAACAATGAATGTGTTAACACAGATGATTAGCATTTCTCTGTAACAATGATTGGTTAATACGGATGATCAACGCACAGATAAGGCCCCAGGGACCGGCTTCCCAAAGCGATCTTTTCATTAACAGATACTTACGACAGTCGTTGCACTAAAATCGTTTTGTGGAGCGGGCCGTGCGCAGAGCGAGACGACCTTTAATTTCGCTGCACGGAGAACCCTATTCATTTCACGGCACTGAGTAGCACGTGTTATAGAAAACGTCACACAGCTGTGCATTTACCCTAAGGCTACACTGAATAAAGTCCATGGATGCAGTAGTAAATCTATCCTCAAAATAGGCATGTCTAGATAAGCCGACAAAACGACGGTCCTTTAGAGCGACAACTTGAAATTATTTACATAATTTAGAATTATGATTTAAGCTAATAATTATTGCCTTAGAGACATGTGCAACTACACTGTGCCTTGTGTTATACAGAGGACGATTGACTGTAAAATAGACTTGTTAGAATATATGTCTTGTTTCTGTTACCTTAAGATCTTTTTGCACTGTTATGGAAGACTTTCCCGAGGCAAGAGAGTTAACTGGCTATAAATTCCATTTTCCACGCTTGTTGAACTAGGCTGGTATTATGGAGTTATATTTTGGTTGGACCATCGAGTCTCTTCATAGTCCAATCAAAATCTGTCTCGGAATCGACATCCGGCTGTAAACTGCCGTGCAGATTTCGGTCGATTTGCAAAGCACGTGTACCGCAAACAGATATTTTCCAAATCTTTTCATGCTTTTAATCAAGGAGCTCACATGATTTCATGCACTTTGCGAAGTAAGACCCGTTTTATTACATTATAGATCTTGATTATCGATCTGATCGTCCTGACTGGGCACCGCCATTTTGTTTGAAGCAAATGTTAGTGATATGAGAGGTGGAATCTGATTGGTCAATAGGAGGAACGTAGAAGGGGCATAACACGTAATAGCCACTGGTGGCGCTACGATCAAGCCCAGAAATTCCAGCCTAGTTGAGCAAGGGTTAGTCTGTCTTACAGACCCTGATACAAATATATATCAAATACAGCCCATGCAAGTCTATAATGTTTGGCAAGTCTAGATCACTGCAGTATCTGAAAATGAAGAGAGTCACTGGGCTCCTTTTTATTATATTTTTATTAGGATAACTGAACAACTGTTTTTTTATGTACGATATGTTCATTTCAGAGACTAGATGTTAGTCTAAGCAAGGGTGGAAACTGGACTTTAGAGTCAGTTAACTCCCTTCCCTCCGGAAGATGTTATGGAACGACTTTTTTCAACTCATATTTCGTAATTTCACCGGATTCCGACTTTTTACACACTCCATATGATTCCTTGGGGAACCTGCAACCGTCTCAGTCCGTCTCTTCATACTTGGAGCCTCTAGGGGGCGTGTCCCAATCTGCCACGTGGTACAAGAGGGTTACGTTAACTTCAACTTCAACCTAAAACGAAATCTGTCAAAAATTAAATTCTCTCCCTACCCAGTACATGTTTTGAAAAAAAAATACCCCGAGAAAAGAGACTATCTTTACCGTATTGGACATTTTTTGTACAGCTGCACGGGAAATAACGGTCTTATATCCGGAGAATGAGCGAGTGAGTATTGTTTTACGTCGTTTTAAGCGATATTCCAGCAATATCACGGCGGAGGACACCAGACATGGCCTTCACACATTGTACCCATTCGGGGAATCGAACCCGTGTCTTCGGCGTGAAGAGCGAACGCTTTAACCACAAGGCTACCCAACCGCCCCTAAAATTACGATAATGTCCCGTGAAAGCGTTCGCTTGTCACGCCGAAGACCCGGGTTTGATATTCCTCACATTGGTACAATGTGTGAAGCCCATTTCTGGTGTCCCCCGTCATGATGTTACTTGAACATTGTTAAAGACAATAAAACAATATTCACTCACTAATGTCCTGTGAATGAAATGTGCCCTAGTGTGATAACACTGTCACCACAGTGACGTTATTTTACCGTAGATTCTCCAATAATGCCTCTGTCGTTCACGTAATTAACAGTGAACTTTCCAGGGCGGGCGTTTTATTTCCCCAACGTTTTCAAACCCACGGTAAGGCCCTTATCATCATCGTGCTGAGATTATAGATCATGTCATCAGTCCCTTGATTTGGCTCTTGGCAAGAGTCAACTGGGCGAGGAATTCTACCAAACTAGTCAAGGAATTCATATATTTTTACCAATTTCTTGGATCGATGCTCATGACATCAAACACTGGATTGTCTGGTCCAGGCTCGATTATTTACAGACCGCCGCCATATAGCTGAAACATTGCTGAGCGCGGCGTTTAACAACAAACAAACACACAAAAACAAATCATATTTTTTAATTGTAATGGGCACATTCCAAGTGATTCCATGGCTTTTCATTGGCTTTGTATATGTATGTTTCTATAAAAGATAAATTCTCCCCAACGGACTGCTGTTTCCTGATTGGTTGAGAAATAGAGTGGGTGGAGAGGTGTTGCATATTCCGCTGATCGCTGTTATAGATTTCGTATCGTTATGCAACTTTTAATTTTAATGATTAAATAATCAGTCTGTGAAGTTATTATGTTGAGTTATTTATTTATAAGAATTGACTTCAATTGTAATATTTTGCGTTTATGGATGTATTAACGTAAAATCCAGTGTGCACGGTTTTCGTAAATCGGCTAAACGCAACTTTATTTTTATTGAAGTCAATTCTTAAATAAAACACCGGGCGCCTTGACGGTTCTTGTCACGTGCCTCTGTTCACCCAGCAGTGAATGGGTACCCGGTAGGTTGACATGGTGAGTTTTAACCTTCCAGCGTTGCACAGACAGGTTGGGTTGTATACTCCCCAGGGAGCTGAGAATGAAAATCGAGTGCACTCTGATCAGTTGACCGGGGTAATAATGTAACGCTTTGAGCATGCTTTTGTGTGTAGATTTGGCGAATTATAAATATGCTTATTAGTAGTATAACAAAAAATAATTCAACATTTGTATCTTTTATGGTCAGTTTGTATTCTTATCAGTGCTGTTGATTCAGGAGATCCAAATCAAGATAGGAGGTATCTAATCTATGGTTAGACTACCTCAAATTTCGAAACACAGTAGGTATATTTCCATTCTACCATGACAAAATTAAACGCGAAGTCATAGTATTAGCGAAGATCTTAAATGAAAGGACAATGTTTGAGTGGTTATTTTTAATCTGAATTAGGGGCGGTCGGGTAGCCTAGTGGTTAAAGCGTTCGCTCGTCACGCTGAAGACCCGGGTTCGATTCCCGACATGGGTACAATGTGTGAAGCCCATTTCTGGTGCCCCCCGCCGTGATATTGCTGGAATATTGCTAAAAGCGGCGTAAAACCATACTCACTCACTCTGAATTAAGGATGGGCAGATGATAGCCCTTAAATAATAAGTTTATGGTGCTGTATTTGCTCAAACATTTTTTTCCACATATTTATACTTTGCTCAAACATTTTTTTCCCCACATATTTATACTTTGCTCAAACATTGTTTTTTCCACATATTTATACTTTGCTCCAACAGTTTTTTTCACATATTTATACTTTGCTCCAACAGTTTTTTGCACATATTTATACTTTGCTCAAACAGTTTTTTTTCACATATTTATACTTTGCTCAAACAGTTTTTTTCACATATTTATACTTTGCTCGCATATATGACAGACATTGAAAGTCTGTAGCAGAGAGTCTTTCAAAATGAAGTGAGTACGTAACACGCTCTCCTACCCAGAGTTCCATGCGGCCAGCATTGTACCTTATTCGTCACCAGTCGCATGTTTCCGTAACCTATAACAAGGCTCGTCCCTTTCGTCACCACTCGTCCCTTTCCGTAACCTGCAAGAACACTCGTCCCCCTATCGATGAATGTTATGTGCGAAAATACGACAAACTAATCAGAATGCGCGTATGTTCAATCATACTGTATAATGCCGCATGTCCCGATATGCTTTAAATTTCATCTGAAAAACATACGCTCATTCTGATTGGTTTGTCGTATTTTCGCACATAACATTCATTGATAGGGGGACGAGTCTTCTTGCAGGTTACGGAAAGGGGCGAGTGGTGACGAATGCCTTCGAGGGGCACCATTCGTCACCACTCGCCCTTTTCCGTAACCTGCAAGAAGATTCGGCTTGTCTCGGAATAACACGAGTTGGTCACGAATGGAGGGGCACGAGTCCACATTCGGCTGGTCTCGGAATAACACGAGTTGGTCACGAATGGAGGGGCACGAGTCCACATTCGGCTGGTCTCGGAATAACACGAGTTGCTCACGAATGGAGGGGCACGAGTCCACATTCGGCTGGTCTCGGAATAACACGAGTTGGTCACGAATGGAGGGGCACGAGTCCACATTCGGCTGGTCTCGGAATAACACGAGTTGGTCACGAATGGAGGGGCACGAGTCCACATTCGGCTGGTCTCGGAATAACACGAGTTGGTCACGAATGGAGGGGCACGAGTCCACATTCGGCTGGTCTCGGAATAACACGAGTTGGTCACTAATGGAGGGGCACGAGTCCACATTCGGCTGGTCTCGGAATAACACGAGTTGGTCACGAATGGAGGGGCACGAGTCCACATTCGGCTTGTTCTGGAATGGGACGAGTTGGTCACGCACAGTTCTCCTGCCACAGGCCAGCGCCATGTGATCATCCGTCACATCTTACACAGTACATTCAAGACATTACATATATTTTTCATCTGTTTCATTTTTAACAAGTCTTCGTCATCTAGATGAGCATATGTCGCAGAATGGTTTATTTTTCATTGAGAAAATAATCCCAATACCTGAAAAAAACTATTTCCATTTCCGTAGTTATCCTT